ATACCAGCAGCGCAAATAGCAAAAAGCAGAGTTAGTCAGTAGTTGTAGTAGCAGTAGCAGTAGCAGCAGTAGTAGTAGTAGTAGTAGTAGTCGTAGTAGTAGTAGTAGTAGTAGTAGCAGTAGTAGTAATAGTTGTTGTACTACTATTGGTAGTGCTAGTAGTAGAATTAGTAGCAGCACTAATTTTATTCGTAGAAGTGGTAGTAGCAGTAGAATTAGACAGCAACAGAACCAGAAGCAGCAGTATGTAGCAGTAGCAGCAGCAGCGGCAGGAGTAGTAGCAGTAGTAGTACTACTACTACTACTAGTAGTAGTAGTAGTTGTTAGTAGTAATAGTATTCGAATTAATATTAGCATTTGTCTTTGTATCGGCATTGATATAGCGCTAATGTTGGTGTTAATTTTGGTATTACCATTAGCACTTGCATGACTATGAATGCGAGAACGAGAAATCGTACCAGTGTCAATATGAGTACAAGCATCAGTGTGAGTATGAGCAATAGCTTTCGCCCTATTACAGGATTTGTATTTTGGTGTTTGCATTCATGTGCATATTAAAATGTCCTACTAATAGTATTCGTATGAGCGCTACTACTAACATTTGAATTCGGGTTCGCATGCAATTAGTTTGAGTAATAGTCTCAGTATTAGCACAAGGACCAACATTCGTAGTCGTGCTAGTTTTTGGAGGAGGCTTCATCTGCCCGGACCCAAACATGGCCCGGGCGCTCTCTGGATCCCCACGAAGGGACAAAGGGCAGGATGAATAGATACCGGTCATAAAAGGTGCAAATCGCGAAGCAGAGGCGGCACTCGCAGAAAAGCACGGCAGTGCAGGCAAAGCACGAGCAGCAGCAGCAGTAGCAGGAGGTTGTGCATCATGTACGTTGCTTGTAATCGCGGCAGTGCCAGGCAAAGGCGGCGCTTGCGGCAGCGAGGCACTTTGATCGACCTCGGCGGGCGTGGTATGCGAAGGCCTGGCAGCGGCACGGCAGGCAGGCATGGCAGGCGAGGCGAGGCAGGCTGCAGGAGCACTATCATCGGGCTCTGCGTCATTTCTCGCAACCGGCACCACTAGTGAAGAACCGACGGTTGAGGGAACACGGAATCGGAGTCATCGTCTCATAATATCGCCTCTCTGTGGCACTACTTGGCACAAGTACGAACGGGGCAACGGGTACCAGGACATCGGATGCGCTTCAGACGCTTATCGGATAGATGACCCGAGTGCAAAAGCGGCAGCAACAAGCAATGACAGTGACTCACAATCGGAAGCAAGAAACTCCGCATTACTTTCGGTCACAAAGCAGGGACGGCAAAGACAATACAGGGCATTGCAAGAGATCAGATCAGAGCCGGTTTCCGTTAGGTTAATTACTCAGCTAAGAGGCAGCACCTACACGCCCTAGCGGCCCTAGCGCAGGCGGACTTTCTGCTGGACGTCACTCAGAGTGCATCTTGAACAGTCATTTATAGAGACGACACCTGCCTGATAATGGAGCTAACTCGGCGTATGATCGCATGAGGTAGTGAATGCACTGGTTATAACCTCTGTAAGGTACTGCGCAGTTCTACGAGGGTCATGAGCCCAACGCTTGGCCTTTAGGGTCAGTAAGCTGTTGTGGATGATGGATGGGCCTCTGGATGACGGCGGCGAGCCAAGTACTGGAGGGCCAGTGCAAGTGAGGCATCGCCTTGAAGTGTAGGTCGACGAGACCGTGGAGGAGCCTTGCTATGATACTCCGGCGTCACAAAGAGCTGAGCAGGAAGGGGTCCCGCACGGAAGCCAGGGAAGCCAAGTTGGTCCGGCTGCGGCAGTGGCTGGATCAATCTCTGGCGAGCAGCGGCCTGTCCCTGTTGAGCTGGACGTGGCGACAGAAGATGCTGCAGGCGAAAGCGCAAGCGCGTGTGCGGAAAGAGTAAGGCAAGTTTCGCCGAGCAGAGGAAGGAGGACGTGGGCCAGATCTCTCGTTCGCTGCAGTACATGACAGGTCTGGTTACCAATTTGGCGACTCGAGTGGATCGAGTCGAGCAACGGCAGTCTGTGAGTGGCTCGATGGCTCCTCAAAGCACGGATAGCAGCACACCCGAGTGAGTTGGGAATGAAGTAGATTGCTTGGGTGGACAGTGACAGTTTTCTGCTTTGGGTGCTGGCTCGGCTGTTGGCACAGAACCCCTGCCAGGGATGGAGTGGAGAGCTTTAGCGCCGATGTCAAGGATGCTGGCCGGGACCTTCAGCAGTGATAGTGGCGGTACAGCAGTTGGCTGGAGTAAATGTGCCGTTGGCTCTTGATGGGCTACCGGTTGGAGAAGACTGGCCTGGACCCATGGAAGTGGAAAGATGGCCGTTGGGAGATCATGAGCCAATCGGGTCGTCCAGTTTGTCCAGACCTCAGCACGCACCTGAGCTTTCGACTATGTCAAGATCCCACCGGCGATTGAGCCTCCAAGTATGTCAAGATCCCAACGGGCGATTGAGCTTTCAAGTATGTCAAGATCGCAACAGGCATCTGAGCTTCCATGTACGTCAAGATCCTAACAGGCATCTGAGCTTCAGATCGCGGTATTGCGCGTGTACCGGGCCAATGGAAGAGTAGAGGCCCTCGTGGGGCGCGCCAAGAACGCGGTCGGGACTTACTTGTCGTCTTCAGGACGTACTTGTCGTGTTCAGGTCTGGGAGCTGAAATGTGGGGCTTTGCTTTGCGTCACTACGTGTCAAGGATTCAGCGCAACATTGTCACTCAGCTTGGGGGTCGCATTCCACTACCTCCTTTCGGCACCGTGTATGTGACGCAGCGGTCATGGAAGCTCAAGAAGGAGGAGTTTGTGGAGAAGGTGGTTGCTGCTAAGGTGCTGCGTCCCTCTATGGATGTCGCTAGGGGTTTCCTGGTCAAGACGGATGAGAGCAGCTATCTCATGACAATGGTGGCTGTGGAGAATGTCAATCAGGTCTTAGGTGAGTTTGAAGTGGCTGCTCCACCAGTGCATGCCGATGAGCCAGGTGTTAGGAGGAGATTGCGGGGGAAAACCGCGATCGCTGTGGCCGGGCTAGAGAAGGAGGAGCGCTTGGAAAAGCTCATGCACGCCGGTGGAGGATGAACATCTCATTCTGGACGAGGAGCTGGCAGCGGTGTTCTTGGAAGCAGGTGATTAGTCGATGAGCGCGGTGGAGGAGCTGCTAGATGGATTGTTGATTGGGGAACATCTGGTGCCCAATCGTCGTGTGGGAGTATTTGATGGTGTTCCTCAAGTGTCAGTCATGTGTTGGGAATGTTTCGTCATGGTGGTGTGGTGGGGCCCTGTGGTGGAGGATTCAGCTCATGGTGACCGCGCTTTGAGTCACGTGGAGCGTGGAAGCCCAGCCGGGTGGAGCCGAAGTCGGGGATGGAAAAGTAGCAGCAGGATGACGGTGGCAGCGGCGACCGCTTGTGTGCAGCTGAGCTTGTGGAAGGAGAAGGGGATGCTCCTCTTCATACCAAGACGATCCCCTACGACCTGGCGCGCAAGGAGATCGACAAATGGGTGCCGAGCATGTTGTCGGATGGTCTGACGCCGTGGATCCGTTTTCGGCAGAGACCTTGGAGCAGTGGAAGGAAGGCAAGGAGTTCCACTTGCTGCCTGGAAAGACGGTGCACACTGTCAGGGCTATCACGGGGCGGCTCAAGACAAGGGCTGTCATTTGCGGCAACTTCCTGGGTCAGAGCTTCTCCAAGGACCAGAAGTATGCAGCCGGAGCAGATGGTGCGCTGCTCCGGGTTTTGCTCCGAATGGTGGCTCTTATGTACTGGAGCTTGTGCGAGATGGATGTACGGCTTTCTTGTTGGCTCCTTTGCTGTTCCAGGAGGCTCGTCCCACCTTGGTTCAGGTGCCCAAGATGCTTCTGATGGGTGGCGTGTGCAAGGAAACCATATGGCATGTGAAACCAGCCCTTTATGGGATGGTGACTTCTCCTCGCTCGCGGGAGGTGCACCGCAACAAGACTCTGGCCCAGATGCGAGGTGCAGTACTTGAAGGCGACTTGTTCCCTTCCCTCGGAGGTGAACGGAAGTTTGTGGTACATTATTGTGGGCTCAAGGAGGGCAGGGGCCATCATCTGCTACGTCGACGACCTACTGATTGCCGGGGAGGTGGCGGTGGCGAAAGAGGCGGCCCAGATGATCACGCCCAACGGACCCACAATGGGATGATGTTTCGTTCAATGGCTTTGAGATCCAGTGCACCGGTCTGATCCTTCGGCAAGACAGCTACACCAAGGATCTGTTGGCGCGGCACAGGGACTTGGAGAGCTACGAGGCCCTGAGCTCAAAGAGAGCGAGTGCGCTGCGGATTTTGTGAGGACCCAGACTATGGCCGGCGAGCCACGATGGTTGGCCGGCCGGTGTCGTCCTGAGATTCTGTATGCTGTGAGACCGCAGGAGGCGGTAAACCGTGGCAGCTACCTGCTGAAGTACCTCGAGCTCTATCCGGAGGTCGGCATCCTCTACACTACCAAGCCGGAGTTGACTCAGGATGCCCAAGTGTCGTCGGCTGGAGTTGTGATTGAGGGCTTCTGCGATGCGAGTTTTTCCCCGAACTCGGGACGGAGTCAGCAAGCTATCATGGTCTTTGACATGGGTGGCCTTGTTGCTTGGACAAGCGGCAGGCACGCCTTCGTCACTATGTCCACTGCCGAAAGCGAGACGAGCTACATGCGAGCTTACTACTTGCACGAAGTCGGTGGAGCAGCTGGTGGCTGAAGTTATGTTGCCTTCAAAATCTTTGCGATGAGGTTGTGAAGGCCATCTGCAGCGACAGCCAGGCAGCTCTGGCGGTGTGCCGCTGTGCAGCAGGTTCCTGGCGTACCAGGCACCTCAGGATCAGAAGACGCATGATTCGAGAACTCCTTGAACTCCTGGATTGGATGGGGTACCATGTTGATGGTCGAATCATGCTTGCCGATTTGGGAACCAAAACATTGCCCGCAGACCGCTTTGGGTTTCTTGTGGACAGGTTGCGAGTGCTGAGAAAGCGTTTCAGCTGTGCTACAAAGACGGCGGCCCCTCTCCAGATCAAGAGGCTGATTACTCTCTTTTGTCTGGCGTCTTTGGTTGAGCGTGCTGATGGTGCGGAGATTGCCGAGGGTGCGGGCCGAGACTCCCTCGACTACATGTTCTTTGGCGTATGCATGGCGGCGGGGAGTGAATGACGTCTTTGGCCGCATGGATTCTGCAGTGCTGTGTAAGTACGAGACCGGGTCGGCGAGCAGAGGAGTGCACCGGGTCAACGACGAGAGTCTTTGATCCGAGAAGCTCAGACTCACTCCGGGACCCGTCTTTGGGGCCCACAGGGCTGCGAATGCGGACGAGCAGGCGACCTACAAGAAGAAGAAGGTTGAACTTGCCGTCGCCCTTGTTCGCGAGTGGCAAGGCGCGCAGGAGCCATAGCTAAGCCATGGTCCTTAGCTTCCCCCGCAGGGGCGTCAGGCCTGACAGCCAGGAAAACTGACTTCGCAGAAGCCCTGGCCAACCAAAAGCAGGCGACCTACAACTCCTCCACTTCCAGAATGTCGGGAGAGCGCCAGCTACCCCTCCGCTTCCAGAGCCGGTTGGAAGCGAGTGGGCGTCGATGAGGATCGCAACCTTGCAGTCCGTCACCATCCAACGGCGAGATTGAACGTGTTCGTTCCTGGACAGGCAGCAGGAGGCCCGCCCATGAACCAGTTCACCGGGGAGAGACGCACCATCGGGCGTCTGGTCAGCGGTGAGATCCGAGTACACCGTGATGACTTCACCACTTTGAGCAAGCATGCTCAGCTTTTAGCAAACAAGGAGTGGAAAGAGCGAACGGAGCTGCGCCTGAAGCAGCGCAGATGAATGCCTAGCAGTGCGGAACTGAACAAAGCCTTGAGTCTGGCAGCAACGTCTGGTGAAGGACCTTCTATCTGGAAGCAGTGGAGCTGCTTCAATTTACTGGTGTATAATTTCGAGGCCCTTGAAACTTTTGATGAGATACCCTTGGTTCGGCGACGCGCCGTCAGGGGAGTCTGTGACGTGTGAAGCTGTGCAGAAGCGTAGCATGTGAACAGTGCATGCATCCGAAGGCTTTACAAGATCAAAATTGCGGACTCTGTTTTGCAAGAAAACAATAACATCTCATGAAAAAAATGCCATCATTACTAAACGACGGTTGTGTATATAAGTGAAGTTGAATAAACATGTTTCCTGCATAGCTTCAATGACAGCCAATACCAACCATCAAACGCCAAATTGCTAACACGTGTTACTCATGCTCAATCAGACGGCATAAGCTAAAACATAACCAATACTCGCCTCCATGTGCAATCTACCTAGCTTGAGAAGTTTCTTTTTCAACCAGAACACGTCTGGATTTTTTCCTGCTTTTTAACAACCGAAGCTCCAAACTATCAACGCGTTCTTCCTCCACATACTTGAACTGAATCTTGCAAAGCCGGGTACAGACCCAGATCTTCGGCTAAACAAAGACTCATGATTTGTTCTGAAAAACGGCTTAAACAGGGGTTGAGTGTTCAGCCCTTCTCGTTAAAAGTGATCGCGGATTTGACTTTCGGATGAATGCACAGGGTCTGTCCCAGCGCAGACTGTAATTTAGTGTCTCGGGTTTCGGCACAACTGTACTTATCCGGCTGTTGGGGGGCTGAGAAAGTTGAGAATTGAAGATTTTTTTCTTCAGAAGGTAACTTAGCAAGGCTCCCAGAAAAGCCTCAAACGCGAAAGCCGGAACCTCGCTCCCGAATGTCAAACATCAGAGCCAAAATCCTTGACTTTCCCAGGAATGAACACAGAATTCCAAACTGCGAAAGCCGGCTGAAGACTTCCAGCCAAGTATCTCTCCCGAGGTCAAATCGTCCTCTGCCAGATTGACTTCGAAGGTGACCAAGGTGTCCTGAACCTGTAGCCCCCAATGATTGAAAAACGTTCAGCTAGTACTGCTGCTATTGCTGCTGCTGCTGCGACCACCACCCACACCACCAACCGACACTGCTGCGACTGCTGCTACAGCTGCAATTGCTGCTGCTCCTACTGCAGTAGTGCTGCTGCTACTGCTACCGCGACTGCTGCTGCTTTTGCTACTGCTACTGCTGAGCGGTTGCTGCTGCTTTTGCTGCGATTACGACTAAGACTACAGCAGCAGTCGTAGTAGTAGGAGCAGCAGTAGTAGTAGCAGCACTAGCAGCAGCAGCAGTCGTAGTTGTAGTCGTAGTCGTAGTCGTAGTCGTAGTCGTAGTTGTAGTCGCAGGCATAGTAGTAGTAGTAGTAGTAGTAGAAGTAGCAGTAGCAGTAGTAGTAGTCGTCGTAGTAGTAGCAGTAGTAGCAGTCGCAATAGTCGCAGTAGTCGTGGTGCAGGTGGTAGTGATCTTGCAAAGGTCAGTCGTGGCTGCTGGTAGTGCTAATGGTATTGGTGCTGGCACTGGCACAGGTAGTGGTAGCGATGGTAGAAGTAGCAAAAGTCGTCGTCGAGTCTTACTAGTATGACTATAACTACCACGACCACCATCACGACTACTGCTGCTGCTGCTGCTACTACTACTACTACTACTATTACGACTATTACGACTATTACTACTATTACTACTAATTACTACTATTACTACTATTACTATTATTACTACTATTACTACTATTACTACTACTACTTCTATTACTATTACTACGACTATTTCTTCTACTACGTATACTACCACCCTACCTACTAGCACTACGAACTACGACTACTAGCGCTGGTACCAGTACTTGAACTAGTACTGCAGTACTAGCAGTAGCTTGCAGTAGCACTAGCAGTAGCGGCAGCAATGACAGTCAGAAGCAGCAGCAGAGGCAGTAGCAATAGCAGCAGAAAATATAATGGTAGTGGCACAAATCATTGGAGTAGTAGCGCAGTACTGCTGATTATAGTAGACTCACCTGCCCTTCATCTTCGGGCTTTAGGTGTCTGGCTCTCAAAAGCTTATACATATTAACCTAGTTTGCTGAGCAATTATGGGAATGTTTGTTGTTCTAACGAATGGTTGTTTTCCATGCTAGGTCTCCAAATAAAGAATAATCCCAGAGTCTGATTAGGATTCCGGAGTCTGTTTCCAAGAATCCATACATAAGTTGGGGAACATAATTAGGACCCCCCCCCAACCGCAATCGCAAAATGCGAGGCGGCCAAGCAGATGTAAAAATCATGGATGATTTAGAAACTCTTCGACACTCAGACCACGGCAGGAATCTTCAGATGCTTCGGCCCGCACATGCGGGTAAAACGGGGAGCGGGGCCTGCCGGCTTAGGGGGAGGGGGGAAGGAACATCAGTACTCGCGAAGCCTCACCAGCAGTAGTTGTTTTGGCAGTCGTCGTCGTAGGTACGATGCTGGAAGATGATGAGGGTTAAGCACCATCAGGTTGACAGAAGGTAGTACCGGAAAAGACCCGGTACTCGAATGCGCTGCAGGGCTCCCAGGTTTGGAGGATTGAGACTGATTCTTCTCAAGGCCCTCTCTTGCTTTGCGATGCACCAGGATGTACCGGGAAATCTGAAGATGTCCTGCAGTTCTCGAGCTTTCGGAAACACTGAATCGCTAAACCCTTCTTCTACTACGCCTCCCTGCCCTGGCTCCTCATCAGACGGTCCTTGCAACAGTGAAAAATTTGGAAGTAACGTGTCGGCATGCTGTTTCAGCTACGAGCAAGCTCTTGCACATGCACAATTGTGGCTGCTATTCTCATACTGAGTGCTCTCAGTACTCAGGAGTCTTGCCTGCATTGTTATTTATTGCACGGGTGCATGAGGATCACCATGATAATTACGCACTTTCGATAGCCCGAGTTCAAGTTCTGGTTGACACAGGATAATGCTCATCAACCTGCAATCGCTGCTTTGCTTTGGTCCTTTGATTACCGCGGACACACTTGCACCCCGAAAACCCTAAAAATGATGGACACCTGATCTTGCAAACGCTGGAGTATCTAAAAGCCGAGCTAATTGTGGAGCCAGGGCGGGCCGCTAGCAGCTTGTCCAGCCGTACACCCTTGCATGACCAGATTGCATCGGTCCAAAACGCCGATGTTGGCATGCTTCTGGCTACTCAACACTGGCGGGCAAACATAGCACGACCTTCACCCAAAACCTCGTACAAGTAAGATGGGGGACGTATTCAATTCATGCTAGACTTTGCCGGCAGAACATTGCTAATTACTGAGTCTCCGAAAAAACCCTGCTCAGCTCGCAGCTTGGGGGGGTAGCTTCGCCCAAGCCGGCCTAAGCGCAGGCTGGGGGCGAGTTCCGTGTCAACGTGCCTTCGTCGTGATTTGGGCCTTGGGGTGTATGAGTCTGGATGTAGAAAAAACGGTGCACCGAAAATATAAAATAAAAAATAAGCCACAATGATGACAATACGGCTGTGGGCTGCATGTGGACCAAAATCTGTTGCGAATGAAACGCGAGCTGACGCATGCATCTCAGTAAGCAGCTTCGCTGAATTTATCATTTTGATGCATGGTGACTGTGAAGCTTTGTGGCATCAAGCCACTCTCCTGATGCCAATCATCATGCGCTGTTGGGCTAGGATATACTATCCAGCAGTCATAATATGGAGGCACATTGTAAACAGCCGCTCGCTATCCTTCCAATTCATGGATCTGGGTTTCATGTTAGAAGTTGGGGCGGCCTTACAGTTGCTTGCTTTTGTTGTTGTCTGCCACTTCTTTCCGATCAGCTCTCAAGATCCCGTGTGC